GCATTTGAACCCATCTTATTAGTACGCCCAACCACACAGTTAGTTTATCATTGGACGTCTTTTCATGTGATGCATCGAGCTGTCAGTCGTTTTGCGGCATCGCAACTAGAGGGCAGTAGAGGGAGCTTTACGACAGTGAAGGACCATAGTACTACAATTAAACAGCTGTTCAGCCTAGTCCAAAAATAGGAAATTGAGAGTTTTATTGAGCGCTCAAACTCTTCCCATGATTTGTTAGACCTATGAAGTGAATTTATCTCCATTTACAAATTCATCTTTCAAAACTAAATAGTTACCGAATATAGTGAAATGTCCTTTCAGAACAGTCTTTGACCAAACGTGATTCAAGATCATCCTGGCAGGGTTTATTTAACGATCAGAGGCTGAATGTACATTAGTGGAGTTACAGTTGAAGAATTTAAAGAAATGACCATCACAAACAGGCTGAAATATTGCCTTTATAATTATTGTCAAAACAAACATTGTACATTAGCATTTTAGCAACATGATATAATCGAAACATTTGTTTTTAAATAAAAAAAAAATAAAAAAATACTACTACATCACAGATTTTAAAATAAAACATTGTGCTTTATTACACGAACAGGCATATTTTTTTTTTAAATAGCTTTGGTTTGTAAAAAGTTTACAATAAATTACAATCAACAACATTTGGCCTTTTTTTGGTCATTGCACATATAATGTCAGTAGGAAAATCCCCTCAGTGTGTTCAGAATTACAAAATAATGCCTTGGGTGTTATGCAGTTAAACAAAGTGTTTCGTTTTTAAATAAGAAAACATCTTGCATAGGCAAAAAATAAAAAAGTAAACAAAAATGTTTAATCAGTCTCACAGATACATTAAACAGCTAAAACAGCTCATTTGAACATAACTACAGTAAAAAAAAGAGATCTTTCAAAATGCGTGTTTGCAGTCAAAGTTTAGGGTTAACAGTCTGAATTTATTGATTTTTTTGTGGACGCTCTGACTCAGAGAGACTTGTAATGTCATACTGTTTGATTCAATTCTAAATGGTTGAAAAAGTAACTGTGATATTAAGACAGATGATCCACCTCATCCTCAGTAAACCAGAGGAGTCATCAGAGAGAGATTCAAGCTAAAGGTGAGGCATTATTCCTGTTTTGATCCTATTTTACAATACAGGATCATGGAGACAATCATCGCCGCAAGCTGAGAATGAGAACAGAGACAGAAATCATTTTGAGTTGAAATAAAAAGCATTAGTGTCACAGTATTTCAAAAATGTGATAAAGGGTTATATATATATATATATATATATATATATATATAT